TCAGATTGATCCTAGGACATGTGCTAAATTCTATTTTAAAGAAAAATACTAAAGACTGAACACTTAGACAATGTTCATAAAGAAAAAGTTAATTCAAGTGTATGGTTCGACAATAATGTAAGAACGTTAAATTGAAAGAAAAGGTTAAAAACTTTAATGGAAAGGCTTAAAAGAGACAAGACATAACGCTGAAGATGTAAATTGCAGGAAAATAAAAGATAAACTCTTTTAATACAAAGTGAAAGTAAATTTCATCAAAGCATGAAATGGTGTTTTACATCACGTACATTCTCCCAAGACTCTTTTCTTTACACACGGATACTCTGAGTAAATTTGGAGTAACTTGTACAATAGTAAACACAACACCCTGAATCCTATTGTTAGAACCCCTATTTATAATAATAAAAGTAACTGCTGTTAACTTCCTAAGATAATCAACCCGTGACAAGTGTCACGTTGCATGCATCTGCCTCTTGGATGTGCGCCACTTGTCTTATTCAAGAGTGAGAAAGAATAACTACTACCTCCTTTATTTGAATTTCAAATTCTGCTAGTATTGGACAACATTTTTGGTCGAAGGTAACTTCTTCAACCTTAGAAATATTTTCTAAGTCCAAAAAAGTCTTCATTTCTTACGTGAGTGCCTTCGATTTCATTTATTATAAAGACCCAGTCGAAAACTCCTTCACACCATATCAAGAATTCAATATCCCAACCAATACTTCCAATTTAACGTGGACGTCGAATTTCTGAGCTAACAAATTGCCCTCCAAAAATGTTATTTTCAACAGTGCTGGAGAAAAAGGTCATTTGTTGATAGTGTCCCATTCGACGCCATCTTTCGACCCCATGTAAGTGTCAACGTAACTGACCAACCCACAACTTAAGAAACTGTTTAGTTTATTTTAAGACACGTCCATGACGTCATGGCCAATTATGAAAACAATTTCTTGGAAATCCCACCAAATCCCAGACCATCATCACCTCCCTTAGGATCTATGAGATCGTGGGCATATGTAATAATTGTCAGCGCCCTACACTTTCGCTCCTAGGACTCCACGTGTTCCACTACCTTTTATCCCTTAATGATGAATAATGACCTTTTATTACTTCCAGACGTTTTATAAACAATCTCCTCAGAAACTATTTTTACTCTTTCCACTCCAAAATAATCACTAAGCATCTCTTTCAAGCACTCTCAACTCTTTACCTTCAGTAAACCCGCTTTCTCTAAACCCTTAACAATGGCATCCTCCACCGCTGCTACTCAGGATCAGAAGAAAGCCCCAAAGGCCAAGGGGCCCAAGAGTGTGTCGTTGCTTCCTCCCTTTGCTACACTAAGCGGACTCAAGGTGGTGAAGAACCAACAGTTCATTCCTGAACCTCTCAGAGAAGAGAAGAGACGCATCTACGAATCTTAGGTAATGATTCTTGTGACTGTTTCTGGTAAACCCCTAGCTTTAGCTGGTCCTTTATCCACTTTGGGAGCAGATTATTCAACCATTAGTGACTTCTTTCCTTCCTACCGTAAGACTAAACCCTTAGGGCAGAAAGATCAAACTAAGGTAGCCATTGAAGGTCCTGATAGTATAGCCTTATAAAACATAGACCTAAAGTATCTGAATGATGGGTCCAGGTTGTTTAGAGAAACTCCATACTTCAAAGATTCTGACCTCTATTTGAACTGGTTGACCAAGGTAGAGAAAGTCAAGGCAGAAGCTTGGAAGAAAACTGGGATTTATGACTTGATCATGATGTCGAAGATAGGTCTTACCTACTGTCTCATTCTATTGGCTTATTCCTTATACTTCTAGGACAATACCGATTATACCTTTCAACTTCCTTGTGGGATGATGACATCCACCTTTTTTGACTTAGCTGTTATCACAGAGCTAACACCTCATGGATTAGTCTATGATCCTGAAGTGGATAATCAGGACACCATAGGGTTTTCCACCATCAAGCACACGTATATCCACTTCATCAACCATTACCACAACAAACAAACAAACACAGTCGAATATCAAGAACACGTAGCTTTTCTGGCTATGTGGCTTTCTCGTTGTATTTTCTGTACCAAATCTCTGCAGGTGGCAAGGAAGTATCTCACTCTAGCCAACCAACTGCATCTAAATCGAGGCATTTGTCTAAGTGAAATGATATTGGCTAGACTGTATGAATTCCTGAGTGAAGGTGCTGGTTGACTGAAGAACCAAGAGAGTCATGGGAATCTATTGCTATCGGGACCTTTCTGGCTACTCCAACTCTGGCTTAATGCCACATTCCAGACTAGCCTTCCCAACAAAGGGACGGTCGGCGAAGAAGACCCAGAAATAAAGGAGAGGCGAGTCGAATGGACTCGACTAGTCAAGCTAACCCCTAGTGAAGAGGGGCAGACACCCAGGGCATCTATTTTTGGCTTCATCAAGATGTTTGCCAAAAGATACGAGTTTACACCAAGGATGACCCAGTTTGCAGAAAGGAAATTTTCAAAAAATGCACAGTATGTAGTGTTACATATGTGTTGGGATTCACTACATAAGTGATGGGAGTAGACTCTTAAATGTTATGTATCGACTCCAAACTGGCATAATGTTGTTTTGTCTTTTGTTACACCGTCTGACGATTTTGGTCATAACTTTCGCTTGGTAAGTCCAAATGAGACACCGTTTGAAGCATTGGGAAGCTAACGCACATAGTTATCTCGTGAACTACTTAATGAGGATGTTTTTATAATGATGTTGTCATATGAGTTGAGATTCTGAGGAGGTCATTATGTTTAAGGTGATATTTATGACTATTGTGTTATTTCATGTATGAATAATAATCTAATTAAGGAGAATGATTATATGCCTGTGTTGCACTAAATTTAATTATGTGGTGTATTTTGTGATTGTAATTTTGATGTAATCCAGATAGGGGATTACTAGAGTTGTCAATGCATTATGTTAGGATCAGATAGAGGTCTTAACACATTGATTTAATCATATGCTCAAGCATTATACGAGTTGTGTCAAGAGGCCTGTCTGCTAGTTCAAAGATGAGACTAATGGCTTATCCCAAACTTAGAGATGGGCTCATGGGTTTGCAGAGATTAAGACCCAGTTTCCAGAGAGAACCAAATATTGAGTTAGTACCACATGCATATGCATAAAGTTGCATAGTCGAGTTGCATTGCATAATGAGTTATATGCACAATTGTTGAGTTGTGATTGATTTATAAGTTTGGTTGTGAGATTGTGATGAAATATTTTGTGAATGAGATTGTGTAAAAGATGATGTGTTATTATCCTACCTTTCAGTATATGCATGTTATTATTGTTTGTGATTTCTCACCCTTTGTTGTTGTTGTTGTTGTGGTCTGTACTCCTCTTCGGGAGTATAGATAAGTAAGTAATTAAGTAGCTGCTTAGAGTGGAAGGATGGAGAGAGGTTGTTTCTTCCTCTTTTTCTTCATGCATTTTAGTTTACGTGCTCTGATATGTAACACTAGGAAACATTTACGAGTTTTTGTCTAATCTTTCGTTAGAGAGTTGTTGTATATTCTCATGTTTGATATTACTATGTTTTGAGGAGATTTCATTTATGAGTTTGATTATGCCGTAGAGTGCATTTGAAGTTTAAATGATTTCTTTAATGTATGCTTTAGTACGAGAAATTCTGTTACGATGATACCCTATGTGAAGGTGTTGATTGTTGCTTTTATTTGATAAAGTGTTACAGGGCATGTATGTCTTGAAAAGAGAATGTATGACATTCTATTTGATTGTGTGAATACTTTGATTTTATTGTATAATTATGTACGAGAAAAATAGGGTGTTACAACTGGAGGCTTGAGTTAGGTTTCTCTTCTTTCTGGTTTAGCCAATGAAGTTCTCTCACCCTTTGGTTGCTCTTGTTGACTATGCACACATCAATGATCTTAATCTAATAGTTAAATGTTATAATTCTTTGACGCATACCATTTATACACCAATTACATTGTCACATCATCAATGAGTTCACCACTAAAAGTCTCAACTTCAACCCTAATAAAAGAAATGTCTTCATTTGTTATGATCCTATAAGTGGTACTTACATTACAAAGAGTGACTGTAGTTGGATATTAAGCAACAAAGAAGATCATAAAACACAACCCAATCATTGCATTGTATTTGAAAACTATAACTCATAGAAAAAATAATCAAGTTTCCTCTTTTAATGGGCTTGGAGAAGCTATAACACCACATATATAATCTCATGAAACTATCCTCTTGTATCAATTTTCATTGGTTGCTCAATCCATGTCAGACTCCTTCCATACTTGGTTTAGTAAAACTTTAGCAGAGGAAACTGTGCAATTTCCATAACTTCTCATGCATTATTATTAACATTGATGGAAGTTATAATGGCACACCAACCTCTATAGACTTTTGTGGTACCTTTCACAACTATAATGGGACTTGGCGATGCAACTTCTCTCATATCATACCAAACTCTACAAATATTCTCTAAGTTAAACTTTGGATCATTCACAAAGGACTCTCATTAGTCAAAAATATATAAATTATTAACTCTTATATATAGAGTTATCGTACTCTTAGTAAAAACAATCAAAATATTAATTTCATAACAAACTCAATATATCTCCTAAGGTTGATCTCCTAATCCACCTCTCTTCTTTCCCATAATTGAGTTAAAATTTATTTTTAAGAATTTGGTTTTTTTAGCCGTGAACAAAAAAAAAACTTGCAAATTCAAAACTATTGTTTTGTTTTTTTAGTTTGTGACGTCCTAGGAGTCCTTTGGGGATTTTATTAATTAAATAGCTCCTAATTAGGTTGATTAAGGGTGTAATTAGCAGTTTTCAAAGAGTTAGTTCATTCCGTGCTGTTGTTGCCGAAAGTAAAGTGTGGGTTTTTATTTTATTTTATTAATTATTAAAATCTCCGAAACCTTAAAATCCCCTTTTCGGAACCCTAAAATCCTAACCGTGATCTTCATCTTCTCAAGTGATTGAAATGGAAGTATCATGGTTGAGTGCAATTTTGGTCGGCGCCGGTTATCTCGCTTTCGGTTACTTCATTGGTTCTCACTATCCCCATCGTTTCTTTTTCTCCAATAGATTTTCATCCCCTAAAGACAAAGATGATTCACTTCTCAATCATAACAACAGCAGTAAGCAGAAGAAGAATAGTAAACCCAAAATCAAAGACTCACTTGAGGTTGAACAGCTCGCGGAAATTCTCGAGGATTTTAAGATGGTAAATTCACACAAAAAAAATATTTTTTTGCTAACCTAGTAGTTTTATTTTAATGGGTTGTCTAAAAAATTGTTCCTTTTTTTGTAGATACTCGTTGTAAGAAATGATCTTAAAATGGGTAAAGGAAAGATTGCAGCTCAATGCAGGTATGTAATCTTTGTTAATGTTGCTTTTGTTTTGTATGGTTAAACAACTTAACATATCAGTACTTATATATAAGCTTTTTATGACAAAATATAGCTTTTTATATAAGTTGTATCTTATAAGCTGTTTGTATAAGCTATCCGGAATAACTTGTGAAAATAAGCTGAAAATATCATAAGTTGTTTCCATATGCTTTCTCAAATAGCATTGTAGGTGGTTATTGCGGTAGTTAAGTTTGAATAAGTCAATCCAATCGGCGGCATTGTTTGTTTGAAACTGTGAATGCCTTCCAAATATATTACTATTGCTTAGAGTGTAAACATATTAGGGTAATGAAACTCTTTATTTCACTAGTTCGTTGCAGAAGCATGCTGGCATAGAGATCCCTCATACATGTGAAGGGTGGACTTGTTTATTGCTTCTATTTTGTTTTCCGTTTATTATTTAGCTTTTATCTTGCAAAAAGCGTGATTAATGATTCAAGCTCAGTTTTCTGTCTCTTCTTCTTTTTGTAGTCATGCAACGTTGGGACTCTACAAAAAGGTTCTATATCGAGCTCCAAAGGCTTTAAATAGGTACTGTCACTGGTTGAGCTTTTGGCCATTTTGAATTGTGTAACTTCATTATCAAGTTTTCAATGCGAATGTGCAGGTGGGAGATGTCTGCACAGCCCAAGGTTGTTGTCAAAATTGAAAGTGAAGAAGATATGCTGGCTTTGCAAGTATGTATTGTTTGATTTTAAGAGAAATCTTGTGCTACATTAGCTAAGTTCTCTTTGAATTGTTCTACTTCTAAGATTTTTACTGGATATATATTTGTCAGTTATTGGTTGTGATTATGACAACAAATGAAAAGGAGGACTAGGAAAGGGACACTTTCATTGAGTAATGCAAGGCATGAAACTTGGGCTTAACTGTGAAAACCTTATCTGCAAACTTAGAACTTAGAAAATGCACCTATATGCTTACCGACAACTACAATCATATAGGTTTTAAAATTGTCCAAAAGATATGTTGTGGCTTATATGAAAAAAGCAAAGTTTGTTGTCTGGGATTGCTAGTCAATAACATAAGTGAAGTGATAGGTCTCTATAATTGCAGTGTATAATACGGAAAGATTTTGATTTAAAAAAATGCCAACTTTAAAAGAAAAATATTCCTTTAATTTGCTAGGCTGAAAGGATTAATTGAATTATGTTTAGTTTGTATTAAATTGTATGAAAAAATACAAAAAAAGTTTATAGATATGAAAGCTTTGAATAAGAATTTGTAATTTGTGTTATAACTTATAAACAATGAATGGCCCGGGAGAGAGGAGGTATCGATATTCGATAGGATATAAAAATTGGCCACCCTAAAAGCTGAAGTGTTCATACCTTGTGTTAAAACTTTGAACTCAAAGTAAATGAGCATTTTCTTTTTCTTTTATAACTTCAGCTTTATAATGCATTCAGCATATTATCAGAATCTCAAATAGCTGATATTATATAAACTATATTTGATATATGATTGGTATCATCTTTGTCAACAAATAAATGTCTTCTCATTCCATCTGCATCAATTTCTCCAAAATTGGGTTCTTACATGTCTATCTTTCAAGCTATCTTAAATTTTAAGTCTAATGCATTGTGTATGACTCTCCTATCTAAAGATAGATCATGGTTTAGTGAAATTGTTGTTTGATGTGTTAGGAAAGGGCTAAATCTCTGAAGTTACCCACTCATATCACAATTGATGCTGGGCGAACACAGATTGCACCGAGTAAGTATTTCAAACTACTCTTATTCCGTTGTTATCTGACTGATTTGTAGTGTTTTGCCGCATAATTGGAAATTTTACCTGTGTTTGTGTTTGTATCTTAAAGGAAATATGAAAAAATTATTTACATCTGACACTTGATAGTTGATGCTAAAATATTCAAGTACTATAATTGTCTGGATAGATCAATTAAATTGTGTCTATAGAAGCCAGTACAACTAGAACTGAAACTAGAGATAGTTTTCGAGCAATCCCCTAAAAATGAAATATACATTGAACTTTAATCCATGCTTGAAAATGCTGGTTCATCCTAGTATTCTGAAGAAAGAGATGCGCAGATTTTTCCTTTGGACTTTATAACCGTGTCTGAAATAAGATAGGTGGGTTTACATTTTAAATAGTACTTGGAATGAATAACTTCCTTTTGTTACATATTCTATTTTTGTCCGATATAATGTTAGTTTATATTTAATGTTTATGATATATTTTTATTTTTTTTCCTTCTAGATTCCAGAACGGTGATGGCGATTCTCGGTAATACTCCTCTCTAATTTAAAGACCATTTTTTTCCCATGTCAGTTTAGCTTTTCTTTTTATATAGCTCAATATAGTTCGATTTTAACATGATATTCATGTGCAGGACCTGTTGAAGTGGTAGATGAGGTAACAGGTGGACTGAAACTTCTTTAGTTGTCCAGTCTAGGCGGTTAATGATTTACCCGTTGGGTTGGGTGTTCATGAAGGACAAGATGTTGAACAATATAGAACGTTGCCTCCTTAGAGCTCTGGGAAGATTTGGCATGTTCTTTACCCGCTCAAATTTTGTAGCTTATCTTCGGTTGACAGTAATGATGATGGTGAAAACTTGTAGTTGGAATCATGAAACTAGTAGTAAATACAGACAGTTGCAATTCATGACCATGTGCTGTTCTTTTAGAAATGTTAAGTGGATAAGGTGCTCCCACATTTTCCTGTGTTTGATTTGTCTATACTTTGTTAATTTAGATCAATAGTTTCACTTTCACAATCACGGTGACACCATGATTTTTTTTCAATCTCACCGCTCATTCAAACATGCATGTAATCTCAAATGATTGTGTTTAAGTCTCCAATGGTTCACTTTAGGTAATAACCTCTACATGTCATTAGATTAGATTGTGAAATTTTGGTATGCAGATATCAAATGTCCTAAGAGATGCTAAAAACATTGATTTCTGTTAAAACAGAACAAGGACAAAACATGATCATTTTAAATCTCTTTAAAAATTAACAATGTCATGACATCTGTTGTAACATTTGCAGACTGACAGAACTATATATCTAACCATTTAAATTGTGTAGAATTGTAAATGCTGAAAAATAAATAACACAATGAATTGTTAACCCAGTTCGATGCAACATCACTTACATCTAGGGGCTACCAAGCCAGGAAGGAAATCTACTATTAGCAGTATTAATTCAGAGCTAAACTCACAGTTTAAAACCCCTCACTTAATCCATACCCAATGCAATTTCTGCTTAGAACCCACTAGATAAGAGACACCTCTCACTCACCATAATCACAACAGTGATAAACAATTCAATACAAAAGAAGACTTTAGAAGACACTCTTCAAAGTCACAATACTTGATTTTGCTTAACAGCTTCAATCAAGAACAATACATTCTTGCTTACAAGCTTTGAGTGAACAATTAACAATTGACAAATAACAACTAACAGCCACAATATGTCTACCACAATGCATCCAAAGATATAACGGGTGACTTACAAAGTCACACACACAAGGAACTCTCAAAACCCTAAACCCTTATTTTACACTCAAGTTGTTCTTGATGTGAGTGCTTAATTTTCCTTACTTCTGCGCCTCCTTAAATAGTAATGCAGACTGGATTTGCGCTGGTCAAAAGTAACATAAATTAGGTTTAACCAAGTTAAACCACTTTCCATAATTCAAGGTGCTATCAAATAAGTCATAGGCATTTCATGTTATGCTCAGCACGGCCTAGAATCTCGCCTGAGATAACTAAGGAACCCTAACAGGTTTCCTGAAATCTAGCCTGAGCTAACTCATGCGTTATACCAGAAAAACAGACACGCGCCCTTGTTGTCAGCTACCTGATGTCATAACATTCAACATGACATCCAATACACTTTGTCCTAACTTACTCTGCAGCACACTACACAAGTATGTCATGACATCTTGATTAAAACACATGACAGCAGTACTGTCATAACAGCTCCTGTTGTACCAGACAGCGATGTCATGACATCTGTCTTGACATCTTGATTAAAACACACGACAACAGTATTGTCATAACAGTAGATGTAGATGTTATGACATCTTTCTTAACATTAGTGCAGAATCATGTTTTACCAAAATTTAGCCAATCATAGAACCATAGACAATCATAGAATCATGGAACTAACAATCTCCCCCTTTGGCAAATTTTGGCTAAAAACAATCAAACAAACTTATCAGGGCAGCAACAATAGTTTTCTCAAAAACATCCAGCCTCACAAACTATCATGCTCCCCCTTAATAGTTGCATTCAGCAAGCAACTACAAAATACTACTCTTTCCTTAGTAGTAGCAACAGATAACAACACTTTACTCCCCCTTGGTTTAGTCAAAAATTGACAAAAATTGGAGTAAATGTACATACATATGCTCATCAAACAGAGCCAAACCCCAAAACTGAATCAGAAACAACATGCTTCAAAGCAAAACTCAGTTGTCAAAATGCACATGGAGTCCAAACATCCAGTTATCTCACAATCTCCCAAGAGATACACAAACTGCTTGATCCCAATCAATATGAAGACTGCACCACTGCAGCAACAATCCATGGACAAGGACTTAAATCCCCCTGTTGAACTCACTCAAACACTGTAAACTCAATCCTGATGTGTATAGATCCAGATACCACAACTCCTTGAAAATACATCCTTCACATCATATTTCAGCATGATTAGATCAAGCATCACAATCCTAAATCCAGCCCATCGTGTATGACATCAACTCCTTCACCACTACACCATGCTTCATCATGATAAGAAACAATCTCCACAACATCAACTCCACATGGCGTTACCCCATGAACATTGTCATTGAATCTTGAGTTCTTGCCTTGTCTGAAGCTGCACCTTCAGGAGTGACACTTTTGACATCACCAATTAAAGGATAATCAATTAAATACTTGCAACAAATAACAATTGAATTTAAATCCCCAATTTGAGACACATAAATATTCTGCAGAGAAAAATAAATTCTCTCATACAATAACCAATGTTGTTTCCTAGGTCATTCATAAGAAGTAAGCATAGTCCTAGAAAAAAAAAGTACACCAGCCAGCACAATGTCAAGACATCTTGTCTGACATTACAACCTCATCAGTGGTCCAAGAACACAAGTTTGCCTGAGGAACACCAAACTTCGCACAGGCTACAGCAATGCAGCTGCACATCAGACAGGTACACAGCTCCCCCTGTCAAGCATACTCAGTACTCCCCCTAAAAGAGAGAATCCAAACACATGAAGACTTACTTCAATATCTTCATAATCACACACTGGAAACACATGCAACTTTACACCCCTTGTTTCACAACCACACCAGAACTAAACCTTATAGGAGAGGTAGTCACATGATAGACATACCAATCTACACGATCACCCAGATTCAGCTAGAAAATTCTCCAAGATGTCAGAGTGAATGCCATGTTTCCTATAGGCATACAATCAAAACTGATTGAAAAATAACTGTATTATTGCAGCAACAGATCCTACATAGAAGTATACCTCCCCATATCAAGGATAACTAGTGCTCTATTTCCAGAAGCACGTGAATGGAAAACATAAGACTCATCTTCATGTCTTCAAGAGCTCATTCCTTGTTCAACACACCTGTTGAACGCATTCACTTACTGCTTGAACCACAGGTAACTAGTACACCCATCAGACAGAAGCTTTCCCCCTATCTTCTATAAAAGTTGCACCTTACAGCAAGAAACACCCAAGATCACCATATTATCTCTCATAACCACTCCATGCTCAAACAGTGAGAAGGCACTAAACTGATCCACCTCTTCCTAGAGTTACTTGTAGCAGAAGAAACCACTTCTCCACAAGTATTCTGACCTTAGGCTGAGTACAAGATAGACACCCCATAATCCAAGACATTCTTTCCTCATCATTCTCCCATATGATAAGTTAGAACACTTCTGGTTTAACTGGTGAATATTCACTTTCATATAACACATCATAATCCAGACTTTCATGCAATCAACCAATGATCCACTCCAGTTTTATACAATACATTCACATCATACTCCAAGACAGTCATTTTACCTCATCATTCTCCTGTGTGACAAGATAGAGTACTTCTTAGTCAAAATGTGAATCACAAGTACACAACAGATCTTCAAGTACTTCTTCAAGGAAAAATAAACCAGATGATACATATCACAAACACAACATCCAATGGTTCTTTATATGCCCACAACTGGACTTACTACTGCCTAGTCATCCAACTGAAGATCTTTAGAGAACACAACTCCACCAGCTTGATCAAACACATCTCCAAAAGAAGGTAATCTTCCATAAGCAACTTAGGGCTTCTACCACAAGCTCCAATATATGAACAGAACCAGAATCTCCTTTGGTCTTCAAATAACTACCCTTCTGCACAAGAGTAATTTTCTTCAGGCACACTTCTTAAATAACCAAATGCCACTGTTTGGTTAACACAACTTCTTTCTAGAAAATCTCCTGACCCATCAAACAAACTTGATCTTCATATCCTTCATGCTCCATATCAAGGCAAATTGGATACACCAAGACTTGAACCTGCAACATCTACTCCTTCTCACAACTCCATTACATCAGTTAAGGCCCTAAAGTTTCTGCTTGATGTCACAACATCTGATCAAACATCCTGCTGGAGGGTTCAGGCATTCATTCTGCCACTTAGAATAACCTCCTTCAAATAACAGAATAAGAGTTCCATGATATCAAATTTTAGTAGACATCTTTCATCATGTATTTCTGTACGCACACCTTAAGGAACTACTCTTTAGAGAACCCAAACATGCCAAGGCTTGATTCTTTAAAGAGGATTAGTCACAAAAGATCTTTACAAAAGGACTCCCGCTTTCCTTAAGTAGAGACTTCTTCAGAGATAACTGCCACTTATCCTTGACCTCCAAGATGAGCAAGGTCACATGCTCCTATGCACTTAGATCAGAAACAAACTGACCCAAGCAGTGCTATCACCAACACCATCTTTTAGACAAGTTTCTTGCCAGGAAATTTTCTAGTTAAAAGACCAGACGCTTCTAGTAGAAACTAGAACACACCTGCTGCACTCCAATACTCCTAGATTAGAAATAAACAGATCTAAGAGAAATGTCTTCATCTTCACTTCCATCAGCACTACATTCTAGCCTTAGTTTTTTGCCAAGAACCTTACTAGAGTAGAGACAGATCCAACTATATCTCCTTTGAGTTGGTGATTTACTCCTTGAATCAACAAAATTCTGCACAATCTCTGTTGATGGAATGCCTCAACATCTGGTTGAGCATCAGATCCTTGAAGTAGACCAAACAGATCAGGGGCCTGACACTTGTGCAACAACTGATGAGACAACTTGATCATCAACTAAGGATAATCCATTAAATAATTGAGAATATCTCA